AGTGTCCGAGGAACAACGAGAGCAATCCACGAGAAATATGGATGAATATAGTGGTTTTTCCGACAGATACATTTGTCAGATTGTGATGGAATCATATATTAGCCAATCACAGATGTGTAATTGGTAATTTTAGCGAATAGAAACCATTATGGCTAGGTTTAACTTTCCGACGCTTTCCGACAAATATTTGTCGGAATTAGAGACAAAATATTAATATGTGTCTACAAATTTCAAGTCATTTAAATACTTTGCAAATATATTTGTAGTTCAGACTACTAGGAAAAATCCTAGAATAGGAAGATGGTTGGCAGCATTGGTAGACAGCCACTAGTTCAGCTTATTTTCAGATTACACAAGAAACGACATGAGTCTCTCCGCTTTCGTGCCCACGAACACGCAAAAGGCGCGCACTACTGCTATTGCCGCCTTTAAGCGGATGCTGGAAGAGGAGAATGTTAGCATGGAATTTTTCCAAGCTAACATTCTTCTCGACAACTCTGGCAAGCGGTTGGCAGCGACGATGGACCGCTTCGGCTTTTATCTGGCTACCAACGAAGGTAAGAAAGGTAAGCTTGCACGTAATACGGCAACATCTTATCATAGAAATGTAAAACTGTGGCTTTTCGACCAGTATCCACATCTACGTGTGCCTACTGAGTTGATTCTACTAAAGCAAGGCAAGACCTTAGATAAACATTGCCTAAAAAGAGAAAAAGGTGGCTTGATTAATAAGGCTCCTCCTTGTACTAAGGAGGATTTACAGTCTCTTATCCGCTATGTGTACAGCACGGCGCGAGTGCACGCAGACTACCAGGACGCAGCCCTTGCGTGCCTGATGTGGCACTGCTTTGGCCGGTCTTCGGATCTTGGCTACATCCAAAAACAACACATGTCAGTCTCTGCTGACGGGGTCTTCTACATCCGGTTACTCCGGGTCAAGACAGCAGAAGAACAGGGACTTACCCTCGTACCTGACAAGACCGACTTCCTGACGTGCCCACTGCACGCGTTGGCAGTGGCCCTGGTAATGCAGGAAGCACCGTGCTCCTCGCTGCTGAGCCAGCTCCCAAATCTTGCGGCTGACGCAGTTGCTCCTCTCGAACCTGGAGCGCCTCTTGGGGACCTGCTCGCTGAGCATCCAGACTCCCTTGGGGTCGCCTTGGCTACGCCTTCGCTTTCATCTTGTCCTGCCGCTTCTGCAGCTTCCTCGGCGTCGCCAGTGGCACGCAGCGCGAAGTCCAACACTAGCGAGAGAACCCGCGGCGAGGACGGCGTACAGGCCTATGTCAATCGCCTGCTCAAGCGCGTAGCAAAGCCGGCTGGAGCAACAACGACGCTGACCTCTCACTCCTTCCGCCGGGGCGGCGCACAACACGCCAATGGAGATGACCGCCTTGCAGCGCAGTGGATCTTCAACCGCGGTGCGTGGGACATGAGCAAAGTCAACAAAGGCTTTGCTTATGTGTACAACACACCTCGGGAGGACCGAAAGGTAGCGCGCGTGCTGAGCGGGTGGGGGGCAGACGCGACTCCTGTAGTCCTCGATGTTGCCGCCCTTGATCATGGGGCACAGGAGCGGCTTGGGCGTCTGCAGATGCTTCTCTTCAGCTCATGTACGGGACTACAAGATCAACGGCTC